TCCGACAGCGTATACACGCAGATTAATGACAGTCGATGGAGTTGCTGGTTTGACTTCGTCTTCCCGAAACGGCGTGAAGTCAACAAAAAGTATTGCAAAAGCCAAACTACGTTCAAGATTTTGAAATGATACACGATTATTTTCTCGTTACTACAACAAAAGTAACGTTAACGCCGAATGACAAAAAAGCAAAACACTTTTATTCAGGTAAGACAGTCCAATCGACTTCAGAGGCCAAAACTTACCGCTGTTGGGACGGTTGTCTTTTGGAGCCCAGTAGAGAAAACTCACACACTTCTTTATAGGTACAGTGGCGACTCAGTATCAAAAAAATGTTACTTTTTAAAAACTTATCTGATCAATTAGGCCTCGATACTGTACCGGGGAGTTTATTGCTGAAGTTCTTACTTTTGTTTTGTCGGTTGCATCTGACGAACAAGGTGCGTTACTGCCACCTACTGTACTGGAGTGTAGGTTCGAGACCGAATGTACCAAACGTACACGACTCTGAAGCAATAAATAATCAACAAACTCACTGTATCTTTAATATTCATCTCAAAACTAAGTTACATAGTCAACATTCACAAACCCGATCTGTCGGTGTTTAATGGTGGCTGTCAAATGTGTTTAGGTAAATTATCGCTACCCACTAGTGAGAAGTGTTTAGCTATGTTTATTCAACAGCAATACAGAACATGCATTGAAAAAACATAAAATCGTACACTTATTTCCAGTGTGGATAATACAGCATATTAATGACATTTAATTTGTATTTTGCAGTATTTTACAACATAATATTTTTATTCTTCGTTCTTTCCAAAGATCTGTCACTTGTAATCCCTTCCGTGGCACATTTATCAATTAATTCCTTCTGGTGATTCTTCTTGTCTTCAATGACATTTTCTTGAATGCGTTCCTATTTTGAAAGGTGTGCTGTCCATTCAACTCTGCCCAAATGTATCATTTGTTATAGCACTTATTTTCATAAGGGTGAATGGAGTGCTGGGGCCTATCCGATCTGACTTTGTGTGAGAAGCAAGCTATATCCTGGATTGGTCGCCACCCAATCGCATGCAATGTCACACTGAGAAACACATTTTCTTTTGATCACACACACTAATGCCATATGTCACTAACATAAAATAAAGGTAGCCAGTGTTGATGAATGAACAGCTGTTATATAAACTTGTGATTGTGAAAATGTGAGATATCAACGTAATCAGGTATCTAGGCTTGTGTTTGAGGTGAAGGGGAGGAAGTATTCTCTGGCAAACTGGAAGACATCATTTGGTTTTTTGAGGAGCAAAAATTGCAGGAAGTCAGATATGAGTGCGCGGATCTCTGGGTGCGCTCTTAAATATGACGCATGGTCAGCTTTCAACTCCTCCTGCAACAATGCCACAAACACATACCATGTTCAAATCTATTTGGAGGAATTAACAAGGCACACTCAGATGTACAGAATTATCCAGAATACAGGTACACTCACTGGCCAGAATGCTGTCATGGTTTAGTAAGTCTCAACACAAGATCTGTAGAAAATACTGTAACTAACCTTTTGAAAGAGTCCATTTTGATAGTGAGAGTCAGGGAGGTACAGTAATTTAGCAATAGACGTATAACAGTACAATGGCGCTGTTGATAATCATTTGGATTCCTTATTTAGCTCTTTTGCATTCCCCCACAAGTCACGGGGGGATAAGGACTAAAACATGTCTTCCAGCGAAAATGCCCGAGTCACCAATGCCCCCCCAAAAGGTTTAAAATTGCCTATGTAAGCCATAAGGTGGTAGAAAAGCACTTCTTTCATATAAATTAGACTTCTCAACTAACTTCAACATAGTTCATTGCCGCCAATATGCCACATGAAAGCCGATTATGGGCGGGTCAGGAACGTACCCTGCAACTTGTGGGTTCAGTGTTCAACACGGGTGTTCTCATGATTGTAAAGGCATATATTTTTTAATAAATCTATTGCATTTGTATATAGTTACCTTGTACTTGTGTACTTGATGAAGTGTACGGATGGCGTTATTACTTTAATTGAAATTTTTTTCTTACCTTTCTGTCCAAGAACTTAGAACGCATCTGTATGTCTTCTTCCCAAACCAGGGGGATTTTATCATAAGCTATGAAAATGTAAACACATTTACATATCAACAAAGCCCATTATATGACAGAATAGTATTTGAAACATAATGCGGGTGTGAATACCTTCTTCTTTCTGTGATGGCAGTTGCAGTAACCTCATTGTAACCGGAGATCCCACCTGCAATCTGCTAGCAAGATGCCTAAAGAAACAAGAATCTCCGGTGTACTTTATACTCAATGACATTAGGTGCTTTTTGTCACTGGAAGAGCACAGAAGTCACAAATGCATAAATATAGTATAGATGTAGTAGTGCTAATGTACGGAGCCCCTCGAGTGGTAGGGTATAAGAAAAAAAAAAA